TGCTTTATTTAGTATATGGGCTCAAGTGATCTATTTGTAATTGTACAAGGGTCTATTTGACCCTTTTCTCTTATTTCATCGGGATCTTTCTAGTTCTGTACTAGCCTATTCTTGGTTTCGATTCCAATACTTGTTCTGATTCTATCATTTCTATGTCGTCGCTTGCAGTGATGAGGCTTTAGTCTATTTTGCAAGAGAATAATTAAAGAATGAAACCACAACAATGATTTTTTAGTCTATTTGGCCGATTCCTCTATTCTGCTGAAGTCACTGGTGGTTGCCTAGTGTTTTTTATAAAGAAAATCCATTACCAAAGCTATTGCACACGTCTAATATTGAGTTTATTAGCACGTATCAGCACGTTTCCTGATGGTGTTTTTCAGCTTATCAGATTTATTAATTATTTTTTCTTCAAATACGTAATTTTTATTTTTCATGCTGAATTGTATAACAATAAGAGAAAATATGATTGAAGTTACTTTTCTAGTTGTATTAGTTGAAATTACTGTTGAAGATCATTTTAGTTACTCCGCATTTCTCATATAATTTTGTCTTTATTTTATTAATAAATTATATTTCAAATATAATTTTTTCATAAATCCGCAAAATCAATCACTTCAGTCAGAACTTCATAAATTTCAACTGAATCAACTAACAGCTGGTTTGGTGTTACCATTCGGGCTCTAAAAGTATGTATCAAAGTTTTAATCTCATGTTATTTGAAAATTGAAACTAAAGTTGAAATACATTGAGTGCGTGTAACTCAAAATTCAAAAACTGGTTATTGAGTATGATGGTTAATAAAAAGTTACTAATTTTTGAGATTATTCCAAAATATATTATATACGGAGTGGAGTATGTGACAATGATACTGATAATGTATAACACACACATGCACGTGTATATATTTTAAATCCGGAAGACAAAACACCAAAATCAGTGGGGTAAATGCCGAGGAAAATATATAATATTTTAATTGAAAAGTATATATCAATATATGAAGATGCCTTCATGGTATACCAGTTTGGCTGTTTGGTTGAAAGGATTATCTTTACCTCTCCTAGACCCTAATCTATTTCTTAATATAAAAAAGAAAAAAAAAATGATGCAAAAGTTTCCTACACAAAAATGTCTACATTAAAAGTGTTGGGTTAATGGCACAACGAGGGGGTCGGCCCATTATCCCCTTAAAATGGAGAGCCTCAACGCCCAACAAGAAAGGAGCACCAGACACTCATCACCAGACTCCGAAACCCACCAGGGGCGGTTATCCACAACAATCCAAGGCACAACCGATCGATGTGCGTCTCTTCAGAGCCGGCCATCAAGGTTACCCAGTGCACTCCGACATCCGCAACCAAGTGATACGCAGGAGACGCTCAGCTTCTCCCCCTTGTTCCATCGCCAAGATCAGAGAAAGCCAAAGACCCAACACTCGTCCCCAAGCCTTGGCAGGAAACCAAGATTCTGACGGGAACCACATTTAATGCTGAAGATTTGGTGTTTGGGGGCCTAGCCAGATGCGCAACCCTCCACGTCAGCATATCTACATGCTCCTTGGTAGTATGAATAGTAACATTTATTTCATTGTAAAGGGTTGACAACTTATTCTCCTTAGTATTCTAGCAATTCTGGCTATATTCTCAGCTCTTACTTAGCAAGAAAGACGATCGACCCCAGGCCAAGTAGCTTAGTGTGTTGTATACAAACCCTTATTATCAGCTAATAAGATACGACCCACTGCGGCAAATATACTTTAGCCCATCTTATTTGTATTTCATATTCACTAACACTCTTCCACTCGAAATCTTCTGGTTATGTATTGGGCCCCCGGATTGAAGGAATAAAACTCAACAAAAAGCATATTACCTATATTGTTTGCAAGTTTTCTTATTCTACCATATACTCTATTAACAAAAGAGGAGGTGGGGCCAATCTCAAAAAATTGTTTTCGCATGGTGCTATAACTTTTTTATTTGCACTCCAATTTTCATAAAAAATATATATCAAAACAAATAAATTTTAATGTTCTTTCATATGACATCAATATGTCATATAATTGTTTTTTAAAAACATAAGATACGACTGCTAGATTTTATGGCCCAAAATTAAGATCCCATTATTACAATATTTTTATATACATATTTTAGTTTTTTTTAAATGGGTTTAAAATAACAAAAACAAAAATTAAATTCCATAATTAATTATTTAAATCGGAATGTTTGGGTTTTAAATTATAATTATTCGTAAAAAATAGCAAAATTGATGTATAGTAATAAAAGCGAGGATTTAATTAAAAAATCTGTGTTTGGGTGAATGTATTGACAATGTTAAATTGAAGGAAAAATTGATTTGACAGAGTGAGTATGCAATTTTTGTATAAACTAGTTAAAAATTAGATTTATTGATGAAACATACTCTGTATTAGGAGTCGATTTTTTTTTTGGAAGAAGAGTCCAATATGTTTTAAAATGGACATTTTGAACTCTTATGTTGTTACATTAGGGACGAAATGGAGAGGCTAAAAAATTAAAAAGAGTTGGAGGGACTAAAAATAGAGGGAGTGTTGACCGCCATAAAAGAAGAAAAAATATGGAAGTCCATAGGAGGAAAGGCAGTGTGTAGGAGTGACATCTAAGGTAATACTTTATAAAAGTTTTATAACTTTTTATTTGTATTTCACATTTTACAAAAAAAAATATATATATATATATATATATATATATATATATATATATATATATATATATATATATATATATATATATATATATATATATATATATATATATATATATATATAGAGAGAGAGAGAGAGAGAATAGAGATCAAATACAAAGTCTTCTTAATTTACAAAGTACAAACTCATCTTGACCGTCCGATGAGTTGATCCAAAGGACATAAAGGCAAGGTGGCATTTTTGTAATAAAACTCAACTTTTTAGGGTGCAACTCGTTGCACCTTAATGTGCAACTGTTATTTTTATGACTTTATAATGTGCAATACTTTGAACCTCAATATGCAATGCAAATAACGTCAAGGTGCATCGTACAAATATTTGCACAATAAACACACTTTGTACTTGATCTTTCCCCTATATATATATATATACACACACCAAAGTTTAAATTACATCTTTCATGAGACATTAACATTGCATCTATAAAGTTTTTTTTTCAAGAAAACATGAAATTCCAACGACTAGAGTTTTTCAAGCCAAAGAACGTGAATTCAACTTCAAGCAATAACTTGACATAAAACCTCACTCTCTTTTTATCAGAGTGTGATTAAATTACAACCTTACATCCTCCCATATAACTATCTCGTCTGTTCTGGGAGGCTCATAAATGTGGTGTCATCCTTATTTTAACCCATGGCGCTTGCACAAGTAACCAAACTTTTACTCTATATGTATTCCATTTTCACGTGGAGTTTTTGAATCAAATGAACACATTTTATCCTTTTTTAATTCAAGAAAGTCAAAAGAATTTCCGAAATTTTAGATTTTGACTTCAAAGTGAGCATTTTTTATTTCAGAACTATTTAGAAAAAAAAAACAAAGAAAATTATTACTTATAATAATTTGATTAAAAATATTCAAATAAATACACAAAGATGACTACTTTCTTAGATTTAAATAGATAGACGCCACGGTAAAATATACTAGTATAAGTTATTTTTGTTAACCTTGTGGTTTAAATTAAAAAATTTAACCTTATTTTGGATTTTTTTTAATATGATTAAATATGAAAATGTTTTACTACGCAGTAGATAAATATACACTCCATACCTACTTTATGAAAATGATTCATAAATTGATGAAGATTTTATTTTACACGTTAGATTAAATATAAATTAAACCTACTCATAAAAATTATCCTAAACTCTATTCTTTCCTTTCATAAAACGACTAAATATCAAAATTAGCTAGTGAAAATAGTGATCATAGTGTGGTAGACGAATGTGCAGATATGACATGCTACATTAGATGTAGAGACATACTCATATCAATTGAAGATAAGATGCACGAATTTGACTTTATATTTCTATGTATTGGGCTATATTAGATTATACACTTTATTTAAAAAAAAATCGACGTGTGTACCTCATTCTATTATAAAATCATTTGACTTTATACCTTATTCTTTCATAAACTTATGACTATCGGTATGCATACATTAATTTTTTAAAATGTGGTGGGTAAAGTCATATCTCTGCGATTCCGTATAATTTATTGTGTTACTACTTTTACATTTGAATTGAAAAAATAATGTCCCGTTAACATTTTTCCCATTCTCATAGTGCAATCTTATTTCTTTCTATGCTCTTAAGTCTTAACCATTAGCACACCCTCTATTTATTGCTTTACTTTTTTTTTTGTAAAGAATAAGTTTGGCCTTTTCCTATTCAAAGTTTTCACTTTCTTTTTTAGGACGTCTTACTTAACAGTTCTCATTTTTTGATTTAGAAAACAATTTACATTTTTAAAAAATAATTTAATCATCAACTATTAAAAATAATAATATTTATAACATCACAATAATCATTGATGACTCATTATATTATATACTCACCAAAATTATTTCTCAAAAATATAATCATTAGTATATTTCTTTAATTATTATCTACATACTTGTAGTATTTAGAGCCCGTTTGGTAACACTAAAATTGGCTGTATTGGTTGATTCTGCTGAAATTTATGAAGTTCTGGCTAAAGTGGTTGTATAGGCTGATTCTGCTGATTCATTAAAAATTATATTTAAAATATTTGTTATTAATAAATAAAATAAAAAATTATATGAAAAAATAGCTAAAATGATCATGTACAGTAATTTCAGCCAATACAGCCATAAAAGTAACGTCAACCTTATTTTTTCTGCTTATTACACAATTCAGCTCGCGAAATCAAAAGTTACGTGTTTAGTAAAAAGCTGGCCGATAAGCCAAAAGAAAAGGTATCAAACTGGCTCTTAGTTAGTAATCAGCTATTCCACTGTTGTGGGATTCTATTCATCTCATCTCCTTGGGACCTGAGCATTCATTCATTTCACATTCATAGTAGACCCTATTCTCCACTCACTCTCCTCCATTGGCCTCCCCAGAATACAATTCCATTTTCTTCCATTCTCTTTTCTTTCTCGGTTGCTTTATGGGTCCTTTTCACGATTCCGGCCGTTTTGTCATTCTAATTACACTAAATTATTATTATTATTATGTGGATGGTGATGATTGTCATAATCCCAACCCCTTTTATCCCCATTTATACTTCCTGATAATTTGTAATTGCAATTGCAAGCTTCATTATCCATGCCTAAGCCAGGTCAGTGAGCCAGCAAGATTTCTTCCCTTCATTTTTCTTACAGTCTGAACACTCTTATAGTTGTTCTTTCGTTTATTAGCTAGTGTTTATTGTATTTTTACAATACAGTGGTTTCCATTCTTCTAGCTTTTTGTTTTTTTTTGAAAGATTCTTCTTGCTTTTGTTAAGAAGAAAAGAAGTGTATGCAAATGTGAGATAGAAGGATGGTGATATAAATAAACTTTCTTTTTCTCAATCGCCAGACAAGACTGAGATATAACTCAAGAGTTATTGAGAGTTAGGTTCCACTGTAAAAGTCTAAGCTTAACAAGATGAGTAGTATTTCTATTCTTGTTTTCCTATATCAGTATATCTCACTAATGTAGTAATGTGTAATCAAGGATAAAAAGTTGGTATTATGAAAATATAGACACTTTGATTTTATTTAAAAATCCATGTTATTTTGACTTTAGATTTCTCTTTATTTGAAAAATTATATAAAAACAAAACAACACTTTTGTAAATAGTTTGAGAAAATAATGAGATAACTGAGATTTCATCTATATCTTTTGATATTTCACACAAGACTTCTCAAAATATAATTTTATTTTTATATGTGTTGGCTTTCTTTGAAATTTTCTGAGATTTCCAAGAAATTCCTTCACAGCCTATATGGATATAAGAGACCTCAAGATACATAAATTTCAATGAAAATATTGGAAACATCAAGATATTTTCATTTCCCATAACAGAAATGCATGGATAATGTAAATAAATGTTGTAATCAAAGTTGACATGCAATAGCATGCAACTGGTTCCACCCTATTTCTTTCATTTTTTAGTCTTTTTGGTACATTAGAGGATATTGTATGTCATAATGGGGATTGCTTTGTATTATTTGGGTGAACACCACAGAAAGCTGTTTTTAGTGGTCACTGGGGCTAAGCAATTCAATTCAAAGTTCTATTTCAAGCAAAACATGTAGAGTATGTATATAGCTAATAGCTCAATCTTGTTACTTTGTTAGTAAAATTCACAGTACAATGAAGATTGATTTCTCCTGGTCCTCTCTCTTTAACTAACTAAACTTTGTTTATCGCTTTGTACAAAATGTAAGTCTATGCGGTGTCTTTGCCTTTTTTCATAACACTTTGTAATTACTAGTTTGTACATCAGTGGATGTGCTTCAATGACTTATTTAGTTGTGATTTTTGCCTTAGAATTGCTAAAGATAAAATTATCACTAGGTGATAGAGAATGTGCCATACTGCCATGTACAAGACATTCTCTTTCTGGAAGTTTTCCTTGCATCAATCAGTTCACCTGCTTATGCTCATGGTTTTCTCCACGAGTTGTTATTCCTTCACTAAGCCTAAAGTCGAAGGTAACGTCATAAGAATTATAGTGCTTCCACAGGATTCCATTGGTTTAAAGATTTTAATTTATATTTGTAGTTTCATGGGAGTTGGTCAACACCCTTTCATTTATTCCTGCCCCCTGCTGTTTTATTTCGGCATATGCTTTTATATACTACCTCCATCCCATATTGGTTGTCCTGTTTTGATTTGACACGATTAGTAATAAAGTTGTTGAGAAGTAGAAGTTGTGGTTTAGATTTGAGTAGAATAAAGTGAAATGATAAGGACCACATATTTCTTACCAGAAAAGAAAAGAGGACATTCGTCTTAGGACAACCTGAAATGGAAAGTAGGACAACCAAAATGGGATGGAGGGAGTACTAATTTGGTGAGGGGAAACTGAGGGCATTGCAATCCTACTAATGCACGGGGTCTCGTTTCCCTTCACATTCCTATTATTAGATGTAATTGAAGATGAACTTCTAGTGAAACATACAATAATTTTCTTACTTGATCCTTGAAGCTTCATATCCTTGCAAGAAATAATAATATAGTTTTCATAGTTTAAGCAATATTACAATTACAATTTTCTATTCCTCTTAGGTTAGATGAGGTCTAGATTTCCTAATCTTACCGGATCTAGATCCACTGTTTCTTTATTTAAGCATTTTAACAGTCTCTATAAATCATCAAGTTGAAGTTCAAAGTGGTTCCAATATAAAAAGTAATTTATTATGCAACACTCACGTCAATTGAACAAAGGAAAATCATTAGGCAGAGACTATTGATTTTCATAAACTTTTCTGCATGCGTATACTGAAGCTGTAAATGCTCATATGATTGTCTGAGTCTAGTGCTGAACTTGCCAGGTGAAGCTCTGATAGAACTTCTTAAAGCTCTAAATGATTCCAATGGTAAAGTCAATGATTGGAATAACGATTTTGTGAGCCCTTGCTTCAGCTGGTCTCATGTCACATGCAAAAATGGAAATGTTATATCCCTGTAAGCGGCTTTTGGATCCCCCCATTTACGTATCCTTTAAACTGAACGTCCTATTGCATAAAAACTTATCGCTTTGAACCCACTATTATTTAGTGTTTAATCTTTCTCATGAGTCAATTAATCAATTTGCAGGAGCCTATCTGCAAATGGATTTTCAGGAACACTTTCACCATCAATAACCAAATTGAAATTTTTGGTTAGCCTGTATGGTTACACCATTCTTTTATAAATGTTAATATGCTTTATATTTAAAATACTGGAGTGCTTATTGTTAGAAATAATGATGTGGTGATGTGGGCTTGGGGCAGACTAGACCAAGCAAACAAATGAATATTATTTTATATTGCTTCTGTGATCCTTAAAAAACGTGTTTACGGCTTTACGCTATCTTAAACCCATCATGGGAATAATGTAAACGTATATGCTTAACTTTTTCAATATGCTGTATGTAATTTAGTGGCCAATGTTTACTAGAGTCATACCAAATGATTCATGTATTTAAGTCTTAATATGCTTTACGTATATCTTAATAATTCCTTTATTCATTGGAAATTAAACTTTGTTATAGCCATTTGAGGAGAAAAGAAGGGTATGGTTGTAAAAGTAATGCCCTCGCATGTTCCATGCAGGGATTTGCACGACAATAATCTATCAGGTGTGTTGCCTGATTATCTTGGTGGTATGTTGAATCTACAAAACCTGAATCTGGCAAACAATAAATTCAATGGCTCTATTCCACAAGCTTGGGATAGCCTTTCAAGTCTTAAGAATCTGTAAGTGAGGCATTATTCCCCACTCACACATTCAGCACTTATCGTTTCTCTTGCTTGACAAACATATCCTCACTGTTGATTTTTCTTGTTAAATTGGGCTGCATCCTTCACATAAGCGTGTGTTCTATTAACAAACACACAAATATTGTTTGTTTCGGGGATGAATCTAGATCACTCCAGATTAAATATGTACTAAGTTGGCTTTGATTGTTAATTATTCTACGACAATGATTTAGTTTATCAGAAAACTTAAGCTTTGTTTGGATGGGGTGTTCTCTTCTTCCACCGGAGTGTTGGCCATTCAAGTCAGCTTGTTATTCATTAAATCCTTCAGCCAATATTTTAAAGCTTTTGTTTCAACTGTAGGGTTCAGAAGCTTTCCACGCCATTTGCATTTCCTGAAGTACTTAATTGTAAATACAATCTACATAAATATTATCATTACTATAAAGATGCGTTTGTGATAACTTGATATATGATAAGTTATATACTATAATAAGTTAATAACTGCAAGATATGGTGAAGCTATAACCGCTCCACCCTCATCTTCATCCACTGAAGGAACAATGACCACACTTTCTACTATCCCAACCCTTAATCAATACTTGAACAAGCAATTGTAGAAGTGGCTGTTCCAGAAACAACTATGATAAAAAGAGTAGGTTATTATTCCGCATCAATGTACACCATTGTCACGTCATCCGTAAGATAATGGCTAGACACGTGCAACAGCGCACAAGATTCTAGTGTATGAGGATGATATGTTCTAAATTTAATGCCAAAGTTTTGTAATACGTTTTGAAGAATCAATAATTTAATATCAATGCATAGTTTCTTAACGAACGAAAAAAGAGAGGGGGAAGCGGAAGGAAGGAAGCGAATGGAGTAGTGGTCCACTGGCTTCCCCCTTCTGTTGTCAATGTAAAGAGTACTTGTGGTTTCCTGAATCGATTTGGCCGGAGTGTTTATCTCTTCTTAGAGTGGTCTCACATCATGACAGATAAAAAATCAAAGTTTTGTGAAAAAAACTAAGCATATAGAGCTGAACTTTCATCTCATATTTTCATCCTTGAGAATATAAGATTGATGCTTGAGAGTGTGTTGGCTTAAGCATTTGTGTTACATGCTTAACCTCTGTATGCACTATGTGTGTAACCTCTGGAATTGGTTTCATATATTCATCTGGGGTCCTGAGGAAATGTAACCTCTGCCACAGGGTGTTGAGGAAAAACCATTTGAGTGGACATATCCCAGATACAATTTTAAATATCTACAGCTCAAATAACTTATAGTCTATTTTGACTTATATTTCCTTTTTTGGTTAAGCATTGAGAGAAAACTCTGTTCTGATCTCCTTCATCATTCTATTTATGCCACACTTTTGGTCTTTATGTTTTTGCTTACAGGGATCTCTCTTCCAATGATCTGGTTGGAGGTGTTCCGCTGAAGCTGTTTTCAGTACCAATATACAAGTAATTCCAGTATTTTACTGCCTATTTCATGGTTGTCATCTAAATTCATCATTGAGACTCTCTTCACCCTTGGTTATCAAAAATATAATATTGGCGTAGAAGAAAATGATCTTTTGGAGCTTTATAAATCTTGAGGAGTAGAATTGAATAAAAGACCTTGGTGCTTCCATATCCTACTAGACCTGTGGTCAAACTAAGTTACATAAATAAGCAAGACCCTGTCTTAATGCGTCCTTGAATTGGTACATTTCAGGATAGAGCAGTAGTTTGAGCTTGTGAGGAGTCATTTACCAAAAATTCTTCCTATCTTAGGTAACTGATAGCTAATTGAGATCTATATATTATTCTTATCATATCACACAAATCAAGGTAGTAAATGCTTATAAACATGATTTGCTGTCATCTGGTTTCCTGGCTTGGAGTAACATATGTTTCTTTTTCTAATGTGTTGCATTACCAGTTTTTCGAATACCCAACTTAGATGTGGCAAGGGTTCCCATCAACCTTGTGCCTCAAGCTCCTCTGTCCCAGGTTTGCTTCCACAATTTCATTTATTTCCTTCGACTCGACATACTAAGAACGGAGACTTATTTGTTGACTGTGGTTTTTACAGCAGTTACCCCTGGAAAATCAAAGCTTGCGATTGTTATTATCGGTGCAAGCTGTGGTGCTTTCATTCTGCTGCTACTTGGGGCTATATTCATATGTCGATCCAATCTCTTTTGTAGGGTCGAAAGAGACATTTTTGTTGATGTGCAAGGTATATTTATGCCTTCTCATTTTCTTCTTTGCTACTATTTAGAGAACTACAGTGTAGGCATTAAAATCCCAGTTGACCTGTGTGGCAAGCAATTTGGAAACAGCCTCATACTTGTCTTCTTAGGTGAAGATGAACGCAAATTCTCCTATGGTCAGATAAGAAGATTTTCCTGGCGTGAAATACAAATTGCAACTGAAGATTTCAAAGAGAGCAACATCATAGGGAAAGGGGGCTTTGGTAAAGTCTATAAAGGTCTTCTCTCAGACAAGACAAAAGTTGCTGTCAAACGACTCGAGAATTACCACAGTCCCGGGGGAGAGGCGGCATTTTTAAGAGAAATCCAGTTGATAAGTGTTGCAGTTCATCGAAATCTCCTACGCTTAATCGGTTTCTGCACAACCCCATCTGAGAGAGTTCTTGTTTATCCTTTCATGCAGAATCTGTCTGTTGCTTATCGTTTAAGAGGTATTATCATTTTTATTCATCTTGTTTATTTCTTACCCCTTCATTTCTATTTTCATGATATTTAACATGTGTTTTAGGATGTAAAGAAATGTCTTGATTTTTATTCGATAATTCTGGCAATCAAATGAATATGCATTCAAGTTATTTAGATATTTATGACCTATTCACTTGGACTTATTTCAGCCCTAGAACAGACCGAACTTAACATTAAAGACCAGAACTAAATAGATTAAGCCGGACTAGACTAGACTATACTTAATAACACAAAAACTAGACTTAATAATACAAAAGTACACACAGTAAATCACTTTAACACACCATATCAATCCGGACCAGATCAGTAGATTTTTTTCACACCATATCAGTTACCCATTTGGGGAAACATCACTTTCTCTTTTATCAAACTATTTCTTTGGATATCTGGAAGAGCAGTAATGCCAGCTTCTATTTGAATGCAATGTCATTCTTTTGAAATCGATTTTAGCAAAAGTAGGATTCTCTCCAGTAATTTGTTTCTCTATTGTTTGCTGAGAGTAGAACTGAGACCAGGAGAGGAAGGCCTGGAGTGGCCAGCAAGAAAACACATAGCTTTTGGAGCAGCGCGTGGACTAGAGTACCTACACGAACATTGCATCCCAAAGATCATACATAGAGATCTAAAGGCAGCAAATATCCTCCTAGATGATAATTTTGAGCCTGTACTCGGAGATTTTGGGTTAGCAAAACTTGTTGATACAAAATTGACACATGTGACTACTCAAGTCCGCGGAACAATGGGACACATTGCCCCGGAGTACTTGACTACCGGAAAATCATCAGAGAAAACAGATGTTTTTGGATATGGCATCACACTTCTAGAGCTTGTAACAGGAAAACGTGCTATTGATTTTTCTCGCCTGGAAGATGAGGAAGACGTTCTACTATTGGATCATGTAAGTTTTGTTCCCCTTTCTCAAGAATGTGTATTCTTCCATTTTAGGGCTGTTTGGGTTAGCAATGTGAAAACATGCTAGTGGTTTCATATTTCTACATTTCCAAAACATCATTATTATTCTTATAATTTAAAAACAATGTGGTTTCAAACCTGTGCTTTTATTGATTGCTTGTAGGTTGCTGTTTGGTACAAATGTATTTTGATGTGCTTTAAAAGTAACTTTATGGATGTCTTTGATGCTAAATGGTTGACTTGGGTTTTGAACCGAATTTGCTTAGCTGAAGACCCCTTTGTGATCTGCCTTTGTTTTGTTCTTGGCATTGAGGAGGTGTTTGATATATAAAAATCTATCTGTGTGTGTGTGTATATATATATAGACAGAGAGAGAGAGAGAGAGAGAGAGGTGGGTTCAAGTAAAAAGTAGTTCTCCCATGAAAAGTGAGAACAAATCTTAGCCTTTAATCACTTGTAAATGGATGGACTAGATGAACTTTAATCACAAGATACACACTCAAATAATGTGCAAACGTTTATGGTACAAAGTGGATATTAAATGAATAAAAGTGCACTCATAAGAGTTAAAAAAGATTGCCAATTTTTTTTTAAATGTGTGCACATTTTATGATGTACTGTTATGCACTTTTCGTGTATATATAACAAAAAGTGCATATTTATAATTTTGCTAAATATATTAAGCTTATGTTACACTGTTAGACTTATTTTTTTGGTGTTTTAACTCTAGAGCGAGTTTATTTTGGATATTTATTGTCATTATATATGTGATTATGTTTTAATTTAATGCTCTTTTGATGTTATTTTAAAATATTCTAGACGTGATTTTGACCTGTTTAAAATAAAGAAAATAAAATTAGAAAGTCATATTTATAATACTCCCTCTGTCCCATAATTAAGTTCACAGTTTGGTTTTCTGAGTCAAACTTTGTTAACTTTGACCGTTAATTATTCAAAAATCGTATTATTTTATAATACCAAATTAATTTTGAATACTTCATTTTGATATATATTATTTAAATGTTAGATTATTACTACGTATATGTTTTATAAGTGTATATATCCATAGGTCCGGAGGTAGTATATTTCAAGAAAGTTTGAAATCATTCTTGAAAATTTTTACATGAATGAATATAGGTCGATAATCAAAGAGTGGAAAAAAGCTTAAAAACTTGCTAGTCAAATACACTTATTTTTAAATAATACTGGTATATTTCAAATGTAACTTTGTGATCATTCTACTAAACAAAAAAAGAAAATAGTTTTTCTCAAACCATATCTTGAGTAAGGTTGGAATTATTTTGAAAATTTATACTCCCTCTGTCCCAAAATGAGAGTCCCATACTTTTTGGGCTCAAAGATTAAAGTGGTTGAAAAGGTAATAAGATTTGAGTAGAAAAAGGTGAAATGATTTGGACCACATATTTCTTTCCAAAAAGGGAAACATGACCATCATTTTGGGACAGCCCGAAAAGGAAATACAGGACTCTCATTTTGGGACGGAGGGAGTACATGATTTGATACAGGTCAGTGTTTAAAGAAGGGGAAAATGACAACGATGTTTGTTTTGAAAAAACTAAAAGATAAGCACAAAGTTGGGACTTCGGATTGAGACCTCGGTGAGAAGTAATAGCGTAAAAGATCTAAAGAAGCACAAAGCCACACTAGCTGAAGGTATATACATTCTCAAATGTGTGGAACCTTTATTTAAATGATAAACAAACACTAATGCAAAAATAAATCATACTTAAAGCACCTAAGAAAGAATCAAACCCTGGAAAACAAGTTTCATAACAATGCATCACTCATCTCAAGTATGAGATCCATTTGGTTTGAATCTTGTAGACGCCTATATGCTATATTTTTACCTGAGAGTATACACTAGCAAAACCGGAGAATGGGGACGCCGGCACCTGCTCCCCCTAGATCCACCAGTGTTGATGATGGCCTATATGATGTGCACCAGCCGAGCAATGATCTAGTCCTAAAATAATGTCTAAAGTTAGAAACGATGATAATGTGAGATGTCAGATGATTTTACTCCAATAGTTGATTACTTTTCCAAAGCATTTGTATGTTTTAAACCATAGAATAAATCGGGTTCAATTTCTAGTCAGGCCTGTCCATGCGCAAGTCTTGTTTCTGTCATTTATCATATGTGCCTCCAAGTCTTGATTGCACATCTGTTTCTGGTTTAGTGATTTCCCACGTGTTTGTAAATCCTTCAGGTCAAAAACTTATTGAGAGAGAAAAGGCTAAATGACATTATGGACCCAAACCTGAAAAACTATGATGTAAAAGAAGTAGAGATCATCCTTCAAGTTGCTATGCTATGCACCCAAACATCGCCTGAAGATCGTCCGAGAATGACTGAAGTCATAAGCATGCTTCAGGGTGTGGGGCTGACTACGAGATGGGCAGAGTGGGAGCAGCTCGACGAAGTAAGGAATCATGAGTTTACCAATGTTGGCCACAAATTTTTGTGGGGTGAAGATTCTACATATGATCAAGAAGCTGTACAGTTGTCTGAACCCAGGTAAGGAGCCGAAAGAATGAAGTTAAATCAATGATGTCTGTTTGTAGATTTTACATCATTGTAGCATAACTTCTTACGCAACATAATGTGTAACATAGTATTTTCTTTCTTATATATTGTTATTATTTCAGTTGAGTCCTCTCGTCTATTCACTTATGCATCCTTCATTCTGTCCTATGGCAAACTGATACCTCAAACTCCTGACATGGAAATCCGTAGTCTTCTTCATGGAGATAAGCCCTTGAATTTTTGCACGTGCCCACTTCATGAGCAATCTCATTCATGTTTTCATCAAGATACAAATTAGCCAATTAGGGTTTGCGATAGCTTCTACTTTAAAAAAGTGATTTTTTGAAGTGATTTTTGAGAAAGTAGTAAAAGTTTGTAGTGTTTGAGAAAAAAGTGTTTTTGAAAAAGTAAAAATGGTAGTGTTTGATAAAATAAGTGATTTTTGTGTAACAGTAAAAGTGAAAAGAACTTTAAATCACCTCTCAAACACTTATTTCAGCATTTTAAAGAAAACTGACCCGCCAATTTCCAATTCTATGAAAACACTTCTGTGCAACCATAATTGATAATTGGTACCTAGTTGGGTTTATCAAAACTTTAGGCTCTCCATTTTATTATGCTCAAATGCTCAATATAAATACAGAATTTAAACAAATAAACTACTCACTACTTAAGCACACAATAAAAATATAGTTTGAATGATCCAAAATTGAGACCTTTGAACTCTAATCCTTGAACTACGTCAATGTCATCAAGTATTGCTTCTTTTGAGCGGATTTGTTTTATCACCTCTGTTAATTCCCACACCGGAAACATGTGAACGAATTAAGTGCTATATTAAGATCTGGATTACTCCTCCTATCAGGTTGACCTTTTAGGATGGAACCCCGACTCTTAACATCTTTTCTGATTACAAGAGATCAATATAGTCATCCAAACTTAATTAATTTGGTCATGTATAATATCTTTGAGTTTGTTAGTCATCCATAATGATAATTCTTTAATGTAGTCTTTAATTGTTTTTCCTTAATGTATAAGAAGCACTTTTAACGTTTTTGTTTCAATTTAGATGTTGGGACTATGTTTCCATCTTTCTCATATTCAAGACCATGCTTACGATTTTTCAGGAATTCTGATTCCGATTAAAGCAATAAGAACGGTTTTAAAACGGGCTAAGACTGATGTTTTAACACTTCTATTTGAATGAGAGCCTTCTGTTGCAAGTTGAGTCTTCAAACAATCAAACCCCCACTCAACTTGTGATATCCTTTCTTCAAACCATATTTCTACCTTGAATAAGGCTAAGGTCATAGTTATTCCCCATTCCATGTTCTTCTCTGAGAGTGTTGAACCTGCTTTCACTTAGAGCCTTTGCGAATATATCAATCAAATGATTTTTAGTTGGAATATATCAAATGGTTTGATAGTATTCAATTGCACGTACTCTAATGAAATGAGGCTAAGGGGCTGTTTACTTGGGACTTAATGGACTTAATACATATGGTGACTTAATTATTCAGTTATAAAGTTGTGTTTACTTACAACTTTACAAAGAAGATGACTTATTCGCTCAGACAAATTATCACTTATTTGTTCAGCGCAAAAAGTATACTCGTTCCGCTTCAGACGTGCGAACAGACATTTTTCTCTCTTTTAGCCTTTAGAACAAGACTTCCGCCCTCTGAACTAGTCTCTCCCTTCACATACGCAGCAGAGCAGCGGACGGTCGTTTTCTTAGGATTTTGGAAGCCGATCGACGGATAAGATAACGATGCATCTTATTTTTTCCCTTAATTGAATATTTCTTTGGATCGATGCATCTTATTTATTCCCCTGCTAAATGCTCTCTTATCCGTCAAAATTTGGCATGAATTACTTTTTTTTCAGTGGCATGGATTATTTGTAAATCGCTATTGGTGCGAAAAATAAAATGCATTTGTGCTATGAGATTATTAATGTCGGTTTGATGGAACATTATGGTTCTTTTTTATTCATTAAGGTGAAGTTTATTCAATTTAGATTCATGCAGCTCTTCTCTTCAAATTTTAGATTATTGGTCATTGAATTGAATTTCTGTAACATGTGGACTGCTTCTTTTGTTGATGAGGGGAATGAAAAAATTAATACGGAGTATGTATGAAAGTTACATTGATACAAAGTACGATAGTATATGATACAGGGTATATAATATTATAATTAATTTTTGGGATTTTGATATACAATTTGATTTATTATTAGGAAATAAGTTCTTGGTTGTTATTAAAAAAAAATCTTGGTTGTTACGATATACAAGGTTAGTTCTTTTTTAAGTAATCTAGAAAATAAGACAGAAGTAGTGCCCGATCTTGATATACCATTCAGTGCTTGTAATAGACAGGAGGGTTATTTGGTCATTTAACATTATTCAGACTTCTCATTCAGCACACATAGTAAACAGTTTAATATCATAGTGTCACTTAATCCAGACAGACGTCTTAATCCATTGAGGACTTAATGAAAAAAAAAGTAAACAGCCCCTAACTTTGAATATGCTTTCTTATTGAATGCTGGTCGTCACACGCCTGTACTTGTCTATTGTAGCGCCTCCTCTTTTTATTCAGATTTGGGATAGACATGAAATAAAAAACTTGACGTATTAAGTTGATGCATATCAATTACAATATTATCACTATACTACTACCTTTCCCCCTTAAGAATAGGACAAGAGGAGTTGGTGCAATTATTAAGAAAAGTATGATAATGTGGTTGATATTAAATTGATAAAGTGCGAATAAACTTAATCAAATAAACAAAAAAGGAAAAATGGGACAAGGATACATTGGGAAAGTTCTCAAAAGTTGAGTAAAAACAATGGGGTGGTTTAATGCACCAAATCCTCTCGTGAAATATAAATTCGGCGCATTAGCCCCATGTAATTTAAAAAATGCGACAAACCCCCTCCAAGAACAAATTTTACAATTTTGAAATCACATTTTTTAATAATATGGTTGAATATGAAAGTAACTTTGTCAAAATTTCTAAATTATACCAAAAAACTAATCATTTTTCATGTTTTTGGAAATTAAATTTGTTCTTGGAGGGGGTTTGGGGCATGATTAATTATAACACATGGGGGTTTCACGCATTTTTTAAATCACAGAGGCTAATGCACCGAATTTATATTTCACGAGGGGGTTTGGTGCATTAAATCCAAAAACAATGTAAGATTCTAATAGGAATACTATGGGCCTGTTTACTAACAGAGATATTTTCCTGTTTTCTACTTCTGTTTTTCGTTCTCCAATTTTCTGTTTTTATTTTTCAGTTTTTCTATCTCCAATTTTCTGTTTCTATTTTTTAGTTTTCCATTTTCAAATCTGAAAACATGTTCATCAATTTTTTCACCCAGTTCTCCAATTCCACACCTTTGACCCCTACTCTTACCACGATCTTACACTCTACCCATACTCCCCCACAACCCTTCATACCCACCCATACCTACTCGTAGGGGTCGGGGTAGGGAAGTTATGGGTGAGGGTGGGGTAAGGGGTATGGTCGGGGTGTGGTGGTAAGGTCTAGGGGTAGGGGGTTGGGTGGGGGTAGTGGGTGGGTTAGGGTCGTGGTTAGGGGTAAGGGTGGGGTAGTGGGTAGGGTTTGGGGTAAGGTAGAGGTAGGGTATGGAGTTGGAATAAGATGGCGGTAGGGTGGGGCTGGGACCAGGGTGGGGCTGAGGTAGGGAAGGGGTAGGGGGTGAGGGGTAGGATGGCGGTAAGGGTGGGGGTAATGGGTAGGGTTGGGGTTGGGGTAAGGTAGGGGTAGTGGGATAGGATGGCGATAGGGTGGGCCTGGGATCTGGGTGGGGCCGAGGTAGGGGAAGGGTAGGGTGGGGGGTTGGATGGTGGTCGGATGGTGGAAGGGTGGGGGTAGGATGGAGGTACGAGGGTGGGGGTAGGATGGCGGTGGGGTGGGGTCGAGGTAGGGGCATGTGGTAAGGGGTATGGGGGGGTAATATACGGGTGGGGGTAGGGTAGGGTGGGTCGGGGTGGGGTCGAGGTAGGTGAAGGGTAGGGTGGGGGGGTAGGATGGTGGTAGGATGGCGGAAGGGTGGGGGGTAGGATGGCGGTGGGGGCCGAGGTAGGGGCATGTGGTAAGGGGTAATATACGGGTGGGGGTAGGGTAGGGTGGGTCGGGTGGGGTCGAGGTGGTAGGGGGGTGGTGGTAGGGTAGGGTGGATCGGGGTGGGGGTAGCGTCATTATAGGGAAAGATGGGATGCGGGGTGGGGTTGGGTGGGTAGGGTAGGGTAGGGTAGGGGTAAGGGGTAAGGTACGAGGATGGAGGTACCGGAATGGAATCGACATCGGAGCGGGACCGGACCCACCACTAGGTGTAAGTATGCAAATTCATTGCAGTGACATTGTAGCATCTGCGTTTTCCAAATTTGGAAAACTAGTAAAAGTCACTTCTTCAAATCATTAAGGAAAAGAGAGATATGTCTCATTTTTTCCGTTTTGGAAAACGATTTGGTAAACGCGTTTTTCTTTTTTCCTTTCTCCAGTTTTCCAGGAATTTCTTTGGTAAACACGTTTACTGTTTTCTGTTTTCCAGTTTTCTAGTTTTCTGGAAAACTGGAAAATATCTCTGTTAGTAAACAGGCCCTATATTTCTCCCCAAAATAAGAGTAGCTTAGGCTACTGTCATCCTGAAATTTACAACCATATTTTGACATATATTTGGGGAATCAAAACATTGAAGTATATTTCCATATAGCTCAAGGGTTAAGGCTCTGTTTGCAAGTGATTGTGCTTAAATAAAAGCACTTTTTGGTAAAAAAGTGATTAGTAGTAAAAGTTGGTAGTGTTTGGTAAAATAAGTGCTTTTTGTGTAATAGAAAAAGTAAAAAGTAGATTCTACACGAAAACCGAGAAAGTAAAAGTTGTTATTGTTTGGTAAAATAAGTGTTCTTTTCTTTAAAAAAAAGCCAAAAACACTTAAATTAATTGTTTGCAAACAAAGCCTAAAAGAACGTATGAACAAGCTTTCATGGTACTCAAGCCCGTGAGTAATAGCTTCACACCCTTCTCATAATTGATTGACAAAGGCAACCCTGATTGCCCAAGCCCAAGCCCAAGCCCAAGCCCATGCCCATGCCCAAGGCAGAGGCCGAGCCCAATAAGGTGGTCATCAGATAAGCAAATGGGCCCTGAATCAAGCAAGGGAGAGCCGATCTTAGTATATGGCATAGATCATAGATGCTCACACTTAATGTTGATGCACGAATATTCGAGGCAGATTAGGGATAACATCATCAGAGAAAGTTCATAACTAACTCTAGGACTGACATGAACAAATCTGTACTAACAAGCTAGCTATCATGTTGTACACGTGTGACCACCTTGATGTTCAGTTACAACAAGATGGCCCATTCTTACTCTTACAATCAAATGAATCAATCAAGTGAATCAATCAGCAATAAATTCTCTTACCAATTAAGTACTCTGAAAATGGTGGCTATTATTCTGGCAACGCACGAATCAATCAAGCGTTGCCAGAATAAGTTCTCTTATTCTACAAGTAATTCTAGACACGTGGCTATTGCTCCAATTAGATAAACTATTTTTACTTGTTTTCCAATATCAGAATCTTCTCAATTCAAGGTCACCCCCCAACTTGTGGAGGGGATCCGAAACAATATGGTGCACAACTACTCCCTCTCTCTCTCTCTCTCTCTTCATTTTTAATACATTAACTCCTCTCCTTAACTCTCCCTACCCCGATCATAAGACCATCAAACATAATACTTATATTTTGGAATTTAGAATTATTTTATTCATATTTTGGGCATTTTCCTTACATTTTATTTTGGGTGGTGCTTAGGGGTTGCAAAAATCCGTCTCCGTTGCTCTATTCCGAAATCCTTCCGGTACTGTCTCGTTCTGTTTAGGACTCGACCTTTTTGTTTCGTACCAATTTTAAGCGGGATTACATGACCGGGACATCATAAATTGCCCCACTCCGTCCCGTTGTCTTGTTTGTAAGATTATAGAATTTTTAGCATTTGACTATTTTGTAGTGTAAGTTCAAAAAATAAGTAATAGTACACTTTGAGTTTTTCAAACCCAAATTCTTACTCACTCATATAGGAGTTTCTCATACCAGGTTACATTATTTCATTGCTTGCTTGCTTTTAAATTGTAATTTGATTTTTTGTTACATTAGTTCATTTTTTTTTTCTAAATTTAATTACGTTTTGACAGCTTTTTAGCTTTTCAATAGATAACTGATTATCAACATTTAATCAATTTAAAAATGTTAATTTTTTGGTGCATATATATACCATAGGAATGAATATTTTTTGTTTAATTAGTTTTTACTGTTAAATTTTTGGTGCATGCATGACGTGTGATGGATAGTCTACCCGGGGGTATCTTATCCGAGGGGTTATTGTCGAAATAACTAGAGAGAAGTCAGAGCAAATAGGAGGAGAGAGAGTCGATTGTATTAAATGAACTCAGCGTGTGTTGGGATCTGAGATCCTTTACAATGGGGAAATGGGGTGCTATTTATAGTAGCAGTAAATGTGATGAGGGTACACGTGGCGATAATCCGACGGCCGAGGGGTCACCTCAATCGGGTGGCACTGGCAGTCGCATGTTCTTTGCTTGTCTCCAAAGGGAATCTTTTCGATGATTGAGTTGTTGGCCGAGGGCTCCCCCGCGGCCGAGGGCCTGTGTAGCCGAGGGCGTCGAATAGCCGAAGGCTTCCCTGATGCCGAGGGCATCATGTGTTTGGCGGAAGGCTACTGGTAGCCGAGGGCCACTGTTTTACGCCGTTTTCTCCCAGTAGCTTCGCATGCTCGAATCCTGACGCCCTGTGTAATTTGGAGCCTTCGGCCAAGGAGGCCGAAGGCACCCCAGTGTGTATTTTGGGCTTCTTTGAGACTTGAGCCGCTGTATTGGGGCTTCGAATGTTCCTTGGGCTCAATGGGCCTGTGTGAGAGAAGTAGGAGTCTATGGACCGGGGGTTCCTGGGCCATATACTCCATCAACGTGTTTAATGATTGAGATTTCGATTTAAATGAAATAAGATTAGGACAAAGATTTGCTCCATACCATTTCATATGGTTTTGAGTGGAGCTAGGTGTACACAAAAGTTGTACACTTTTTGTCTGTCCCGCAATCCAAGTTGTCACAACTCAGACTGCGGGGACAGACAAGTGTACACAAAAAGTGTACAACTTTTGTGTAGGCCACACATTTTTCAATGGTTTTTACTAATCTAGTATGGGGATTGAATAACTCTAATCCGAAGGTCTCGAACCTTGCCACCTCTGGTAAGGTCCCTGGGAATTGCACTTCCCGTTCTGATATATGAGAGGTTCATTTTAACCGTTCACATTAAAGTGTCATTGGTAGGAAGCAGATGCTTACACATCTTTAATTGTTCCATACCCTCCTCTTTGTCATTAAATGATTTTGTCATTTTATTTGCTCATTGATGGTTTTGGGGCTACTTTGAAGTACAATGTTCATTACTTAATTAACCTGCTTATATGCTTCCTTGTTTGCCTGGGGAATTTTGATTTTTAGCACACTTGAAAGTTTTCTTGGCCATGGCTGGACTGGAAGATTTAAAAAGGAAGCTTGCACCATTGTTTGATTCTGAAAAAGGGTTCCCATCTTCCTCAACATTGGACCCATCAGACTCGTACGTGGTAAGTGAATCTCTGTACGCTAACCTTGTTTTTGAAATTGGCTATTTCACAGACACGAATTACTCTATTTTCCTACACAGCTTTCTGATGGCGGTACGGTGAATTTGTTGAGTCGATCGTATGGTGTGTACAACTTTAACGAGCTCGGACTGCAAAAGTGTCATTCATGGCCGGTTGAAGATCCTGATCACGGTGAAAAGACATATAGGTGTGCTTCACATGAGATGAGGGTTTTTGGAGCCATAGGAAGTGGTGCAAGCAGTGTTGTGCAGAGAGCTATTCATATCCCCACTCACAGAGTTATTGCCTTGAAGAAGATTAATATCTTTGAGAAGGTTAAACTGTTTCTTTGTAAATTTTTGCTGGTGTTGGAATCTGGCCTCACATTCTTTTTGTCATATCTGATTATATTTGGAACTTTTTTTCCTAATGAATTGTAACTGGGAGCAATGGAAGTGTTAAACATTTGCCATTCTCAACCATTTCATGAATTTGTACAAGAGATACTCCTTTCACTGAGATATCTATATTCAACATCTAAACTATGCTTCTAGTCATGCATAATAATAGTTGGGGGAAATTCCCGAAATAGGAGCAAAAACAATGTAAAGTTCCAAAATAGGATTAACTTACTGTCATCCTGATAAATTACTGCCACATTTTATACTTCCATAACTGACGGTATTTTCCAAGCATTTCAATATTTTCCAAGCATGATAGTAATTACTCCTATTTAAGGAATAAAATGATAGTGCTTCTATTTTGGAATTCCAAAACATTTTTACTCCTATGCACTAATTAATAAGCTTAAAGTCCAGGAGCAAGTAAGTAATTAGTTCATCAAATGGTATCATGCATGATGCATCATCACATATAACAAATGGAAATTATGCCTTATGCATTATCGATCTCAAGTAGTTGACCACTTTTGCACATTAGGAGAAAAGGCAACAACTTCTTACTGAAATAAGCACTTTGTGTGAAGCACCTTGTTGTCAAGGCCTTGTTGAATTCTATGGAGCATTTTATACTCCAGACTCCGGGCAAATAAACATAGCTTTAGAATACATGGATGGTGGGTCCTTAGCTGATGTCATAAGAATGCGTAAACGCATACCAGAGACAATACTTTCTTCCATGGTTCAGAAGCTTTTACAGGTAAGTCTTTATCTTCATACTTCACCTTTGTTTTTTTCCCTTTTACTGTATATGCAATGGCTTCTATGCATATACGCTATGCTTATTTCTGTTTCATTATCGTTAGGGACTTCATTATTTGCATGGAGTTCGCCATTTGGTTCACAGAGATATAAAGCCAGCAAATTTGCTTGTCAATCTCAAGGGGGAGCCAAAGATAACTGACTTTGGTGTAAGTGCTGGATTAGAGAACTCCATGGCAATGGTTAGTGAATTGATACTTCATAGACCTCCACCTAAATCTCCCTTCACTATCCATCAATTTCAAATAATTTAATATCTTCGGAGATGAATGGACTTGTCCCATTGTCTTTTTCTCACTACTGAACTTTTTTCAACAGTGTGCCACCTTTGTTGGGACAGTGACGTACATGTCACCTGAAAGAATTCGAAATGAAAATTATTCTTATCCAGCTGACATATGGAGCCTTGGAATTGCACTTTTTGAATGTGGCACCGGTGAATTCCCATATAAGGCTAATGAAGGACCTGTCAATCTCATGTTGCAGGTTGTACTTTAGCTTTATATTGCACTCTTGTAGCCGTTTTTTGGCCTAGGGAAGAAAAAAGAACAGAGAGATGGGTGGGAAGGAGATGAAGAAGACAGAAATGTTGGAGAAATTGGGTAGGTTTTGTGTACTGTTATGTAAGAAAGAAATAAGTGCGTAATAGAAAGAAGTGTATGTTGTTGACAGAAAGACAAAATACCCTTAACATTCTCTATCGAATGTTAAAAAGGAATGGGTGTTAAAAGAAGATGGTACAACATTTCTGTTACAGTCCAATTCAATGTAGCAGTGAAAAAATAACCGAGTAAACTGATTAAACAGTAAACCGAAGAGTGAACCTAGAGATAAATTCGGTTTTCGGCTAATAATTTTTGAAAAATTCAGGTAGTCAGTGAATACTTAGTTTCACACTCAGGGTTTCAGTCAGTGACCGAATAACCGAGACTTCAAGCTCCCTATAATAATAAATAAAATCCACGGAGGCCTGATCATAGTAAAGTCAGCTTTACTCTGTCTACATTTCTCCTTACAATCCCAAAACCAATCAATCATTCCCTCACCTTTACACCAATATTACCCTTTGTCGCTCAACTCTTCCAGAAGACTAGAACCAGTCGACCAACACATATGCTCATGTCTACTACAATTCAATGAGTCTGCGGTAATAAATCTCGATCTGCTTCAAGCTAGTTTGCTAACAGGCAATTTGATAGTCCTTACAATTTTCATTTTTTCATAAGATTTGTTTGCAAATCTGCTTTTCTGTCCAAATCTGGTTAGGTTTTAGTGTATGTTTTTTTTTTAATTTCTATATTTGATTTGTTTATCAAGTGACATTAGAATACATTATTCTCGATTTTTGCAAATTAGTTTGTTTTTTAATAATTAACCAAACTTTCTATACATCCAGTTAATATTTTCTCTTCATCTTTATACTCTCAGTTAATATTTTCTGGTAATTTTGCATTAAAAAATTATGTATAAGAAGTTTGGAGTTGGAAAGCATGGATTGAAAGTTCGGCTATTCAGAAACACTATAGTTTTTGGTCGGTTACATTTGATTATTTGGTGTTCAGTAAGTTATGTAATTGATCAACTGAGTGCTCACCTCTAAGGCCCTAATACTATTGCCAAACATATGAGTATTAATGTCGGTTAAAAATCTGAAGTGAAAGGACAACTGGGATGGACACAAAAAGTTGTTGATGGTGGGCAAAGCCCACATGACTGTGTTGCTTCCAGAGCAAGCAGTCAAGTTATTATTAGCAAAATTTCTCAAAATAGGAATAAAATAAGGCTGTTTTCCTAAACAGAAGTGCTATATTTTTCTTCAAATAGGTAACGTCATACTGAAATCATATTGTCATATTATGGGATTATCAGACACTTAAAAAGATGGAAGTATGATCTTAGTATGAATTATAGTATGGTTTCAGGATGGCAAGACTTGCTCCTATTTAGAGAAAAACATGGTACTCCTACTTAGGGAAACCGCCTCGTGTTTACTCTTATTTAGATCAATTTCTTTTGTTATTATTCTCTTGTTTGTTATTTCTGAGCTCTTGTTTAGTTTGTCTTCCTTTAATCTAGTTGTATTAATATTACATTTCTATCTTGGTTTTCAGTTTAAGACTCTGTAATACCTACATAAGGGGTTCTTATTTTCAATAAACTGCTTATCAGAAATTAATTTTGTGTCTTGATTTATTCAATATTAAGTTTAGCTAAATATTCTCCTTTGTTCATAACAAGAACTGAATCCTCAAGATTGGTTCGGGAATCCTGATCGTTCTTCATTTCTCTCTTTATCAAGTTCTCAGCCTTGGACGAATCATTCACACGAGCCCTTAACATTTTGTCTCCTATTCTTCTCAATTCTTCGCAAAATGGGACAAAAGCTTATTCTTATCTTTTCTCACAGAGAGTCACCCGTTCTATCTTATGATATCACCATTAGTTTACTTTCAAATATGGCTTAGTCTCTTAAACTACTGATACTTTTAAAGTTTTACTTCGGACAATTGCCCCATATTTTTTATAGTTCTTTCATTTCTAGTAGTTGACTTCTTTTTTAAATTCCAAACTGTCAAGTTTTAATTTTGCGTAGTTGTATTTCCCGTGTGTTTACAGATCCTCGATGATCCTTCTCCATCACTATCGAGCCATGAATTTTCACCTGAATTTTGCTCATTTGTTGATTCTTGCCTCCAAAAAAATCCAGATGCCAGACCGACTGCAGAGGAGGTAAGAACTAAGAAGTTACATGCCATGTGAAATTGATGTATCTGTAGCTGAATGTTTTCCTATTATGGGTAATTGTGTACTCTTCATCTACTGTTTTCTATATTGGCTTCTACACATGTATCTGTAGCTTAGCGTGATACACTTCATCTACTAGTTTTTATAATAAGAAATATACTTCAAAAATATCTTTCTAGGTCAGTTTCTTCATTTCAGCTTCCACGGCCGTCGACCAGTGTCAAAGTTCAAAACAGTACCCAGCAAAGTACTCATCCAATCTTCAAAACTATATTTCTGAGTCATTTCTTCATTGCTTCTTCAATGACCCAGTATCATGGCTAAATAAACTACCCACTAAAGTAGAAATTCTTTGACAAATGACGATTACCAGATACTTTGCTTCTTTGACTAAGCTCGCTACTAACTGTTCTTTGGTAGCCCACCATCCTGCATTGGCAACACTGATCCCAACAAAGGTCGGGAACTGATTATTCCCCCCTTTAGATTTATTTCGTTGTTTCAGTTGCTTCTTTGTTCTCTCGATCTCGACCTTAGACAAGATCGTATACACTTACTCTTTAGGCATTCTATATTCTTACCCTTTGCTTTCATCTAGAAACATTTTGTATACAGAAAGATTTTGTTTATTTATTGCGTAGTATGTAAATTCCTGAATCCGTCTTTTACTTGCCTAACCAAACTCTGTCAAGGGAGATTAAGTTATGGGCATTCTTGTGTGAGCTTGTTTCAAATCTTGAAAAGCTAGAATTAATCGGTCCCGACCTTGTCAAGACACACAAGAAGTAGTTTATTGATAAATATGGGTGATCCTTTATTCCTTATATAGCTCTCGCAAGAGTCCTAATGACCATATGAAGTATAAATTTAGGCTAATAAGAAATTGACTTACACTGAATAAGTTATCTGCAATGCTTAGCAAACTACTACTAACTATTACTACCTTCGTCCCATAATGTAAGATACATGTGAGTTTGGTGCGAGTTTTAAGAAAATAAAGGATAAAGTGGTTGTTTTATTATTCTAAGCTCCAAAAAGTAAGAAAGAGTAAGATGGGAGCCTTTGCGGCAATGGGGTAATGATGATGTTGATGTTCATATTTTTGGGACAAGTCGGACAACCCAAAAAGGAAAGTATATATATTACAAAGTGAGACGGAAGGAGTAAAACAACAACAATAATAAATAAATTATACGGAGTAATAATAAATTAGTAATACTAATAACAATAGTGATAATAATAGTAATTAATTTTTTTTTGGGGGGGGGGGGGGGGTTGAAAAGAAAACAAACTAAAACAACAATGCAAAAAGAAGCTCGGGTTGCCTTCTGAGAAACGCTATTTTTAACGTTGTTTGCCCGACATAATAGTAATTAATACTACGTGTAATATAATAATACAGGACATGCCTATATATACAACAACAACAACATCCAAGCCTTAGTCCCAAAAGATATTGGGGTCGGCTAACATGAATCGATACATGATAACACCACCAAAAGGAAAAGAAAGAAAATAAAGATAAAAAATAAGTTATTATAAAAAAGATAATATAAAACAGGATGAATATACTTAAAAATGATAAAATAAAAAGGATAAAATAATGTTTATATATATAAGGATAAAAGAATAAAAAACAAGAAGAAAAAAGATGAGGGGAAATAATAATAATACGAGATCAATCCTCCACGCGAATACCCGCCCTCCACTTTGCTCTCTCCAAAGCCATACCCTCATCCAACCCAAGAAGAAGCATATCACTTCGGACTGCCCTAACCCACGTCTGTTTAGATCTTCTTCTCCCTCTCTTCCCTGCCTCTTCTCCACACATCTCAACACGTCTGACAGGTGCATCATTCGGTCTTCTACGCACATGACCAAACCACTATAGGTGAGACTCCCGCATCTTGTCTTCAATAGGTGCTACTCCCACCCTTTGTCTGATTGTCTCATTTGTCACGTGGTCCTTCCTAGTATGCTCACACATCCAACGCAACATGCGCATCTCTGCCACACTCATCTTTGGGATGTGACATTGTTTCACCGCCCAACACTCTACGCCATATAGCAATGCAGGCCTAATTGCTGTCCTATAAAATTTACCCTTCAGTCTGGTCGGCATACCTCTATCACATAGAAATCCTGACGCACTCTTCCACTTCATCCACCCTATTATGATTCTATGGGATACATCTCCTTCTAGCTCACCGTCCTCCTGAATTATGGAGCCCAAGTAACGGAACATATCACTGACTGGTATCTCCTTACCATCTCGAGTAATTCCACTATACTACTGCTTCTACCTCCACGGCTCCACCAAACTTGCACTCCATGTACTCTGTCTTGCTCCGACTTAGTCTGAAACCCTTGTTCTCCAATCTTTGCCGCCATACTTCCTACTTTGCTTTAAGACCTGATTGCGTCTTATCAATCAATACAATATCGTTGGCAAACATCATGCACCACGGTACTTCGTCTTGAATTGACTTCGCAAGTTCATCCATGACTATGGCAAATAAGAAAGGGCTCAGAGCCGATCCTTGGTGGACTCCGATAGTAATAGGGAACTCTGCAGTCCTCCCTACATTAGTACGAACACCTGTAGTACAATCCTCATACATATCCATGATGATGCTGATATACTTGCGTGATATGTCTTTTCTAGTTAAGGCCCACCAAAGAACTTCTCGAGGTACCCTATCATAAGCCTTTTCTAAGTCAATGAACACCAAATGCAGATCCTTGTGAGCGTGTCTATACTTCTCCATAAGTTGCCGAAGAAGGTGAATGATCTCAGTTGTTGAGCGACCAGGCATAGAACCGAATTGATTCTCTGAAATCTTCACAGTTCTTTGAAGTCTTTGCTCAATCACTTGCTTTCAAAGTTTCATGGTGTGACTCATAAGTTTAATCCCTCGATAGTTGGCACATTCTTGTACATCACCTTCATTCTTGAATAAGGGGATAAGAGTACTCTTCCTCCAACTCGTTGGCATCTTGTTGTTTCTCCAAATCATGTTGAAGAGACTTGTTAACCACTCGACGCCTCTCTCTCCCAAACTTCTCCAAGCCTTGATCGGTATGCCATCTGGTCCCACTGCTTTCTTCCGCCCCATCTTCCTCAGAGCCTCCTTAACTTCTGTTGTTTGGATTTTTCTCACAAAATCACGATTTACCATACAATCTGGTATGGCCAAATCACCGATATCTTGCGCTTTGTTCCTGTTGAAAAGTGTATCAAAGTAAGCTCTCCACCTCTCTTTTATCTCCCCGTCCTCCATTAGTACCTTTTGATCGGCATCCTTCACACACTTAACTTTTCCTATATCTTGAGTCCTACGGTCATGAAGACGAGCAAGTCTGTAAATATCTTTTTCTCCTTCCTTAGAGTCCAATTTTGCATACAATTCCTTGTTCGCTTTTCCTCTTGCTTCCTTTACAGCTTTCTGTGCTCTTCTTCTAGCCTCCTTGTACTCCTCTATGTTCTCGTCGCTCCAACTTTTGCCCAATTTCTTATATATGATTGCTATAAATCTACTCGGGTCGTTTTTGTAAAATTAAGTTTGTTATTAGTTTTCACTTTTCAGTTTTGTTACATCTATTTAGAGTTAGCAAATGCTAAAAATCTGTGTGCCAGGTTAAAGTTGTTTATTTAGGCTGTGAGTAGTACTCTGTTCTAGATACAACTTTTTATGTTAGACTTCTAGTAATACTACCCACAACTTTAGGCTGTGAGTAGTACTCTGTTCTACATACAACTTTTTATTGTTCATTGATCCGTTTCATGCTCATATAATTGTAGCTTCTTTCACACCCATTCATTACCAAGTATGTGGATACTATGGGAGTCGACTTAGGTGCATTTGTCCGAAGTATTTTTGATCCAACAGAGAAGATGAGGGATCTTGCAGATGTAAGTGAAATAGTGTCTGTTTGTGGGGGATACCAATATACCATGAATAAGTGCACGACAATACACTATTTTTTTTACTAAACTTGTTGATTCAAATTTCATTCCGTTATTATTGACACTTGATTAATTTAATATTATGTCATTGATTTTTTCTAGATGTTCGCAATACACTACTATTTATTGTTTGACGGGTCTGACGATCTTTGGCTACATACTAGGATGCTTTATACAGAATTCTCTATCTTCAGGTAAGCGATGCAGTATGCTTTTTCCATGGAATTTTATTTTATAGCCTCAAGTCTTGACCTCCTAATCTTTTTCCAAGGGATAAAAAAACAAAGAGAAAAACAGTGAGAGGTGGCCTACCTATCCCCTTTCCCGCAAGGTTTTGAAAGGCAAAGTTGGGACTCAAGGTGGTTGGCCTTGGCCTCATGAGATGTAAGCCTCAAGAAAAAATGAGTTGTAAGATTTGCCTTGTTAGATAAAATAATTAAAAAAATAAGATAAAATAATAATTCATCATTGAAGATAAAGCACACATAATGTGGTCAAGCAAAAATTAAAAAGCATAAAATTAAGAAATTTGAAGTTCGAAGCTATTTAGTTTTTTTAAGAAAATACTCAGGTTATGATAATCTATTATAGACTTATAGTTGGAAAAAATTTGAATGTGGCACCAAAAGCAGGTTTTCTAATGAGTATCGAATCCTAAATTCGGCGTACCTATTTTGAATCATGAATTGTATCATATTGAGTAATGCCACTCTAACTAATAGAGTAAAGAGACAGGAGCAAGACTAAACCTCAATAATAGTTATTTTATTCGTTATTTTGGATAAATAAAGGATGACAAATTGACAACAAAAAAGGTATACTAAGAAGGCAACCTCCATTAAATTACTATAGCAGCTCCCACTATTCTACTCCCTTTGTGACCCTGTCCTAATTTGATTTGTAAAAGTTCACTGGCACAAAAATTAAAGAAAGTAATAAATAAAGTCTAGTTTTACCATTTTGTAGTATCTCCCATAAGGAAAAGGCATTAAAGTAAATGGAAAAGGGGTAAAAGTAAGGCCGTAAGGGTATGTTTGTCAATTTAATCATTTTTTCGTAACCTAAAATAGAAAGTAAAAAATCAACTTGGGACAATCAAAATAAGAAATTCTGCAAATCAAATTGGGACGGAGGGAGTAAGTTATTATAGTAACTCCCAATATGATCCCTTCTCACCTTATTTATAGTAAATTGTAATATATAAATAAATTAAGTATATTAGTACAAATGATCAATCCCTTAAATTGTGCTGATCAATCCAACTATTAATGATCAATCCCTTTAACTGTGCTATTCCTGAAATTATGCTTCATCACTGATTCTACTGCTGATTGGTCTCCACAATTGTTTGACTGCCTTTCTTTTTCTTGGAATACATTATCCATCCCTTTGTATATGTATCATTGCCATTGAGGTTTGAAAAGGCTAGTTTGGTCATTGAGGCGGTATATTCCGGAAGGTGAGGCATAAGCCTTGAGGTGTATTGAGGCGTAAGCCTCAAAAGATACCAACAAATTAAACTAAAATTAGTTAAACTAGTAATAACCAGGTAAAGATATGCATAATTATAAATAGTTTCGAACACATACACACATGATCGCATCATCAAACATGATAGTTCAAAATGAGATTTCAAACACACAAAGGACACATCACACAGATTCAATTTAAAAACCTTGAAGCTAAATCAGCATGACTGGAAGGCTCTTCAGAAGAATATCATATCTTATAGCTCCATCACCATCATCCTTTTCATTATCATTAACTCAATAAGAGAAGTTAAAGAACAAGAGGAGAAGAAGAAGAAGTGGACGAGGGGGATGAAGGAGAGGATATGAACAGGAAGAGGAGGAGAAGAAGAGGATAAGGGGATGAAGAAGGAGATGAGATGAATAGGAAGAGGAGTAGAAGAGGAGAAGAAGAGGATAAGGGGATGAAGAAGGAGATGAGATGAATAGGAAGAGGAGTAGAAGAAGAGGATAAGGGGATGCAGAAGAAGAGAGGAGAAGAGAAGTTGCCTCGAAGAAAGGAAGTTTTTCCTCTATAGAGTGTTCATAAGAAGTTGTCAGACTTCTTTTTACAGGGGTATGATTTTTTTTTTGTACAGGAGTATGGGATTTTTTTAACGACAATGAGTGTGCTCAAATGCTTAATAGAAAGCATACATTAGGGTCTAGGTAGTTTACTCGCTACTCAGTAGCAACTCGGTCAAGGGCCGAGTAGCAAGTAGGACCGATTACTCGGGATTACTAGGTGATTACTTGGCCTTGTATTAATTAAATATAATAATATAGGTGCCCGAGATTATAGAACTATAGTAGTCTTAAAATAGTCTTTAAATTGTTTTAAAATGCACAGAAGTGAATAAAAGGATAAAAATCCTATTATTCTAATGATGGAGTAGCAAAATCCTATTATCCTAATGATAAGAAACGAGACAGGGGAGGGGAATATACGAAAGAATTGATATCAATTATGACTAAAGCTCCAAACATACACACTGCCAATGAAAAATTTATATAAAAAATGATAGGGACACGGGCACTACAAATAATAAAAGGCCTATTAAGTAATTTTATTATTCTCAATAATAAGGGTTTAGGCCTTATAACTTTATAGAAGTGGGCTGGCCCATTAGAAATAGCATAAATAAGGGAGAGAGGGTGAGGAGATAGGAGGAGAATTTGGGATTGGGATTAGGCCTGGGAGTGTTGAGACGACTCGAACAGTCTCTACTGTATCTTTCTCTTTTCAGTTATCAATTCTACTTCAATTTTTCATCTCTTCTACTGTGGTTCCTATCATTGGTATCAGAGCGTTGTCCTGGGAAGATTCTATCTAAGTCACACGTAAAAAATGGAGCAGCGCAGAGGATATCGAAGGTCAGAACGTGAAGTGGTCGCCTCTGGTTTGTATGTGAAAATTGAAAAGCGCGTGCCTACGCAAGGGGGGAAGGAACCGCGGAGGCAGCATCAAAGTTCCGAGCAGGATAACGCGCGCGGAAACGCGGGGAAGATCGCGAAGAGCAGGGAAAAGGTAGAAAGTGACTGGGCAAAGGAGATGAGGGTCTGGCTGGACGAGATGCACACCAAGCTGCGGCAACAACGTCGCAGGCGAGGACGTTCGAGAACCGTGCGACGCTGCCGGAATTCGAAAAGCAAAAGTTCGTCGCTATCAGATTCGCTGGGTTCACAGGTCTCATCTATGTCGCAAACCTCTTTTCCCAGTACTCCAGCTTCGTCGCAAGCAGAATATTCCCGTGTACAGGTTTTAGCGGCCAATTCTACCAGTCCGCAGGCTCTGACTCCAACTGTTTTTCATTATGCTAAACCTCAATCGTTCCATCTGGAGTCTTTTATTCAGCCACAACCTCCCTTTGAAGGTGTTATTTCCTCACGCTTCAGAGAAAAGGTAGAAGTGAGAGTTCAGATGGTTCCCAACAGTGTTGAGGATGTTCCGAGGGCCACCAATCTAGGGCAAAGTTCCGCCACCAAAGCTGACAATTCTTCTCTGGAGACCAAACTGCTGCCGCTAGGTGTTATAGAGGACCCTTTAGAAAATGGAGTTACTGGCAATCATAGGTCAATGGGAGAAATGTCAAAGGGAGTTGAAGGTTTTTCTAGCTCAGGATTCCCTGAAGAGCAGATCCAGGATCTCATGCCTAGTTTCTTCACAGATGCATTAACTGTGGGTGAAAATGTTCAGGGAATACCAGCAGATTGTATACCTGTCCAAGATGGGGCTGTAGGGTTAGGTGGTTTGCTCCATGTTGCAATTGCTGATAAATGGGTTGAGATTCTCAAGGAAAGAGATAAGGATGGGAGACTGGATGACAATGTTAACACACTTACTGCGAGAAGGTGGATGAAGAAGTGTGCTACTTATGTTGATAGTAATGATCACGCTCTTGTCAATGAAGGCGTGATATCATTTCGGGGTGCCTTAGCAAAGAAGTTGGGGGAGAATGATCCACAAACAAATGCAATTGAAGGTTCAGTTGGTACTCACCCAGATGTCAAATTTCGTAGAGTAGTTAAGGGCTGCAATTTGGTACTTTTTGCAATTTGGGACTCATCTGGTTTAGGAATAAGATTGACTAGTGCGTTCGCTCTTGATAGCATTGTTTATTACATTCAAAGAATTGCTGGAAGTGAAGAGAAGCCATATGAGAGGAAAACTAGTGAAAGTCTTTCACAGCCAGCCGAAAATGAGGACTGCTATAAGGAATCAAATAAGATGATGACTGAGGGTAATCAAGAACAGAATGAGAGTTATGCATATCCATCATCTTCTCATGCAAACAACCTTGCGCAAGCTACTACCAACACCAATCATTATGACTGTTTGATTGCCGAGACTCTCAATCCAAATGGGAAGGTTTTGCCATTTCATGTATCCAAGCTGAATTATTGGGAAGGAAGAGGCACGAGGCTGAAGTTGAATGGCATGGTTTTTTCTTACTCCCCACCTTGAGGACAAGGTGGAAGTTCAGGGGGGAGTGATGATAGGGACACGGGCACTACAAATAATAAAAGGCCTATTAAGTAATTTTATTATTCTCAATAATAAGGGTTTAGGCCTTATAACTTTATAGAAGTGGGCTGGCCCATTAGAAATAGCATAAATAAGGGAGAGAGGGTGAGGAGATAGGAGGAGAATTTGGGATTGGGATTAGGCCTGGGAGTGTTGAGACGACTCGAACAGTCTCTACTGTATCTTTCTCTTTTCAGTTATCAATTCTACTTCAATTTTTCATCTCTTCTACTGTGGTTCCTATCAAAAAATGAAAGCTTAACATGTAGTATAAAGGGAACTTAATGCCTCAGAAATTTAATAACTGAGAAACTTAGCAACCTGGAATTCAATGGTCAAATATTGCGGCTGCAGCAGTTTGGATAAACGAGACGGAAGAATTTAGCAGTTTGGATAAACTTAATAACTTAGAAACTTAGCAACTTGGAATTCAATGGTAAAAAATTACGGCTGCAGCAGTTTGGATAAACGAGAGGGAATTAATAATCCCATGATTGATTTAATTTTTTTAACAAGAGGGAAGAATTGAAGAAACAAGGGAAAGAACTTATCCCTTGATGTCACAAGCGCAGCTCCTCGCAGTAGCACTGTAGCACTCGCAAGAGTCACAGGTCCTCCCAGCAGCACTGTAGCACTCGGAGCTCGTAGTAGTAGCGGTCGGAGCTCCTGGCAGTCGCAGCTCCAAATGATGTAGCGGCAGTAGTCGATGCTCCAAACGATGACCAGTAGCGATTATATGTTTAGGTTTTGTAAGCGCATGCTCTTTTTTTTTTCTTTTTTTTTAATATACTGAGTAATAGCGAGTAACTCGCCAATTTGACCAACTCGCCGAGTTGACCAACTCGGCGAGTAACTCGGAAAATTAACTCGGGCTGAGTTAAGGTGCTACTCTGCAACGTAGGAGGCCGAGTAGAGAGTACTCGCTGAGTAGATAACACAGATTATATATTTAAATGAATATTTTAAATCAAACAAGGCTTGTTATGGTTTAGTGTGGACACGTGTTTAATCTTTAATATATGGGCCTTTTATTAAATAAAATACACTAGGCCTTTTTTAAGTAACTACCACATTAAAAAGATGTAGGCAAAGGAAAATTGCTTCAAAAAACGCCTTGACCTTTGAGGAGTAAGCCTCTCGTTCTGCAAAAAATCTACACCTTGATACTTTCTTTGTATGCCTCTCTTTGAGTGTATGACTCTCTTTGAGGCGTGCCTCAATACCCGCCATGTACGCGCCTTTCTAAACAATGATTGCCACCGTTTATGTTGACTTAACAACGCTTCTACTCATCGATAGTCTTCTCCAATTTGTGTGTAATTTCAAAATCATAGCCCAGTAGCTTAGCAATCCCATCTTGGTGAATAGGTGTAATTACTCTCTGGTGCAGCAAGTGTCGTAGGCTTCGGTGGTCGGTTTTGACCACAAACTCTCTCGTAAGCAGACTTGGCCAATGTTATGCAAAATTGAATAATCAGAAAGAAAAGTTGACATATATCCCCTTCTTTTATGATTGCAGTTTTTGTGGGAAAGAATCTGTCGGGCCAAATGATATATTTACAACATTATCAAATATTCGAAGTACACTAGCTGGGGAATGGCCACCAGAAAAGCTTGTGCATGTTGTAGAGAAACTACAGTGTCGGGCCCACGGTCAAGATGCAGTTGCAATTCGTGTTTCAGGATCGTTTATTGTTGGGAATCAATTTCTTATATGTGGGGATGGTCTGCAAGTTGAGGGCGTGCCAAATTTCAAAGATCTGTCTTTGGATTTACCCAGCAAGAGAATGGGAACATTTCAGGAGCAGTTCATGATAGAGCAGGGAAGTGCTATTGGTCGCTACTTCATAACCAAACAAGAGCTCCATATTGCTCAGTAGTTAAGTGTCGATCTATAAGTCATATAATGTTGTTTAACGGGGGGGGGGGGGGGGGGGGGGGGTTTGCTACAGCAATATGCTGTTCCAGCATGTCAAAGTGTCGATTTTCTTGAAGCGATTCTGGGTTGTAAATATAATTCACTGGTTATGCTGTGGAAACTCTTTTAGACCACAATGTATAGCTGATGACGAATCGCTGTGTATATAATTCACTGGTTATGCTGTTTAACACTCTTACATGTATTCATAATTAATCATACTATCCTCCGTCTCTAAATAGATGCAACACTTTCCTTTTTTGGCAGTTTCAATTTAATTGCAACACTTCTTCTTTTAGTAAGCAAAACTAAATGAAATGCCTTTAATACCCCTAATTAATTTATACTAAACCAATTCGTACCTACCTTTTTTATTTCTACGCTCCCCCACCAATCTGTCATTTTTCTCTCCTCTTAATTTCTAGCCCTGAATCCTTTCACCCTAATTTCTTCCGATGCTGCATCTCTTTCTAATCTAATAACCCATCTCAACCATTCTATGTGAGAATCAAAGGTGACCAAACCAATCGTGCTGGAGGAAATTTCGATGAGAAGGCCGGTAAAGAACAAGAAGGCGTGTTGCGTTGGCCCTTTTCGTCGAGAACGAACTGCGGTAGAATTCAGGGATGGAGAAGTGTGACATCAACAAAGAACATCTTGCCGGACAGTTTCGCCGTCGTGAAGGCATCCTAGGCCAGGACCAACGGAGGGACTTGGAAAATCTTCTTGCTTTCTTTTTGTGTATGAATTCAGATGAGTACCATGATGGCATGATTTCATCATTAAGGTCTTCAAACAAATCTGGTTTGCTAATGTTAGGTTGAAGTAGCTTAATTTTTCTTAAATTAATTATACTTAAATTAGTTTAATCTAGCCATCCATCTCTTAATTTTCATGAATTTTACTTGCAGTAGGAATGAGAGGATGAGATTTACATAATGTGATTTTATCAAAATTTTCTGTATTTCGAATTCATATGGCTCACATAGGAGTTTTTTCACTTGTGCAATGAATGAATTTATAAGTCACAGGGCACTATAAACTTATGAGTTTAATCTCTCTCTTTTTTTTTCAATTGTACATAGCAATAGAACTTGCAAAAGGTTATTCAGATTAATGGTATGTTTTTTCGTTTTTTTGGATTGAAGTTCATGCACTTTGTAGATTTAGTAATCATTCATGGCAATTGCTCAAGTAAAAGCTATACACATAGATTAAACTCATTCAAGCAATTACATAGCTAAAAACTGTATGCTTAACTAACACTAGATTTGGTACATACCTGCATATAAAAACCTTTAAAGAGAATAATCTAAATGAGGCTACTTGAAGTACTAAAATGAAGTCCTCACATATTACATGAGGTTGCCAGAGGTTGTCTGATGCATCCATGGGCGGAGCTAGGGGAGGGCCATCCCTGGCCCTGGCCCAGCCCAAATTTTAAAAATGTCTGTATTTTTAGTGTAAAAAATTCCGTGTAAAAAATTTTCAAAAAATATTCTTTGTATCGGCCCAGTGCGGCCTAGTGCTCTAGCTCCGCCCCTGACATGCATCCCATACAAAATAATGACCCAATGAGGCTGCCTGAAGTACCAAAATGAGGCTGCCCATAGTGTCCCTTACAAAATAATGACCGACCCTTTAGTGTAGCGTTACAAAATAAGTTAAGGCTCCTTGAGTGTGTTACTTACACAAAATTACTGCCAACCCTACTCAGTGTCCATTTTACAAACTTCATGCACTATTGCAAAAAATCAAAATGAGGCAGCCCTAACTAGCAAAATGTGTCTACCGTAGACTACAACTTACATACCTATAATATGAAATTAATTGACTGTAGGCAGAGCCGGCTCCAGGGGGAGTTAGCCCAGGCAGCCTAGGGCCTCACATTCCTAGGGGGCCTCATCTTTACTAGTAACAAAGTACTATTAGGTATTGCCTCGTAAAGCTTCAGCCTATTTGTCATCGTGGAAGCAGAAAAATATTACAGCACTTTATTCTAGTACCGTAATTGTTAACCACAACACATTTTAGATTTGTACTCCCTCCGTCCCGCTATGATTGTCCCATTTTACTATTTCGGTCCGTCCCACTAAGATTGTCACACACCTTATTTGGTAAAATTTGTGTGGTTCTAAATTATTTCTACTTTATTCTTACTTTATCAATTCAATATCAACCACATAAAGCCACTTTTATTAATAACTGTGCCACCTTCTCTTGTCCCAAACTTAGGGGGACGGAGATAGTAGTTTCTTTAATAATTTTTTCCATCATTATTGATTTATGGCCGCCCCCAATTTTTATACTTTCCCTTATTAATCTTGTTGCTCTCCAATTAAAGTGCTTTTAATTTCTATTGTTTGTTTAACGTTTGTAACAATGTGCTATAAGATGTTTTTAGAATAGTATTCAAGTGTTTAGTTTGTAATATGTAAGTAAGTATTTACTTAATTTGATCGAGCATATAACAGTCGTATATTTTAATTTGTGATTTTTTTTAATTCAGTTTTTGTAATGAATATGTAGCTCTTGTGATGACTGATATAGGAAAATTTATTCGTGCTAGTACAAAGAAAGAATAAAAATTATATCAAGATTTGATGATAAAATTATTTGCCCGATCTATGAAGAGGTATTTAAAAATAGATTTTGAGAGACTCGATACTTAAGTAGTTAAGTGCTTTTTTTTTGTCTAGGGCCTCTACAATCCTCAAGCCGACCCTGACTGTAGGTGTAGTGTTGGAACCTATACCCACATTAACTTCTATTTCACCCTCCAACAAGTATTGTCTGGTTGCTTGAATTAGTTCCTCAGGAATGTCAATTTGTTCAGGCAGTGCCCCCAAATTATCTAATTTCCTTTTCCCTGCATGGGGATTTTTGTAGTTATTTCCACCTTTGACTTTCGACACTTCTTTGAACACATATTGAAGATGCAACCATGTGTAGTTTAGTAGCTTGGGATCAAAGTTATGGTATTCATCTTTGACTTCACTTACTAGTTCATTGACATCCCTAGGAAAAACTTTGTATTGAATGGACTGAATAGCTCTAAAAAACCCAAGATCAAGTACATTAAAATCCGAGCTTTGAGCAGGTTGACATGCCAATCTTATATTGAATCCAAAAGCTGTAGCAACCTCATTGAACTGCACATCTTGCACACTTATATGTGGTCTTGCATTATCTTGTTGAATCCAAATCTCTTTCCATGCATTACTTGGCCAATTTTCCCTAATAGCTGGCAAAACACAATCAATAAGTTTTGACCTTATTACTTCCTTGGTAACACTTTGTATTGCTTTTGTTTCCGGTGTGCCCGCAACTCTGTTAGCTGAGTTTCGTTGTGCATAAACCACTTCAGTAAACGGGAAAATCCCAATTTTACCATCCCATAATACCTAACCTGCAGCTGAAATGTGTGGCCTGCTCACTGTAACACCGTTCCCAATTTTATTTACCTTTAAGTAAATAATGTAATGAACCTTGTTAAACGGTTAATAAATTTACGAAGTTGTAAATTTCTATTATTTCTTTCGCGTGAATAATAAATTGCACGTGGGGCCCACACCGGGAGCGGGGGGCGCCCGACATTCCCGAGACTATACATTTTATTCATCTTGGTCTAGATAATAAATATATAGTGGTGGATATTTCATTTGGGCCATGGAAAGGCCCAGAGTTGACCGATTGGTCAAAAGAAGCCCAAATTACCGATACTGGTAATTTAACAGATAACAGCCCGAACTGAATTTCAGAGGCTTATAAATTAAAGTTGAGGAATGTATATTATTATACACGTCATAATGAGTAAGAGCACATAATATATTTTATTTGACCCGATAAAAAAAAATTTAAAATAGTCCGAAAAATACAACTTTCGGGGCCAATTGTACACTTTGGGACAAATTAGGATGACCTCCCACATGGGTGGGGGCCACCCCACGAATTTGTCAACCCTTGGGGGCTGGAGGAGTGCTAAATTGGCTGAATATCAATTGAAAGGATGGGGGAGACACCCTTTGACATTTAGTAGACCCTATCCCTTCACTCATTTGTCTACATGAGACAAAAGCCACCCCTCTCACCTCACCACCTCCATCCATCCGTATCAACACCCAAGGATAGCAAGGAAGAGCTCTACAATTCACCATTTTCACACCCAAATTCGAGCTCAAGGAAGAAGATCCAAAGAGGAGTGTTTGGAGAAGGAAAAAGGTGTAGGAAAGTGTAGAAATTGAGGTAATCACCTTGCCATAGCTTTCCTTTATTTTTCTTCTACCATATGAAGTATATATCATGTGAAGGACCCTTGGTATGGTTCCACATGTTATGAGTATGGATTTATGGGTTGGAAGATGGTTCTATGTCCAAGAACGGACTTAGGAGCCAAAACAACCGGTTTACCGGAAAATAACCTTTTTGAGGTTATTTGTATTAATATGGGTTTTACGATTATAAAACCTTGTTAGGCACTTATAAAGAGTATTTCAAGTGATTTCACAAAGTTGGAAAAGTCTCCGAAGTTGTCGCCGGAGTTGACCAAAAGTCACCGGAGTTTCACCGGAGTTCAACCAAGAGGGGTAGAACTTCATAACGCTAGTTCAAGGTGAGTGGACGGCTTAATATCTTATAACTTTTGGGTTAATTATAAGATTACCTAAATAAATGTTATATGTGTTCATAATGATGTTTAAAAGATATTTAAACATGTGATTAGCCAACATAGTTAAGTTTGTATGAAAGGAAATTAATTGTTTATGCATGAAATATGATATGAGAAATTATATAAAATGCATATTGGCTTGAAGTGTAAAAGAAGCACACATGAATATTATTAACTTAATTATATGATGATTAAGTTGATATATACAAGGTTTGAAATGGCGGTCAACGAAACGTTGACCGATGGATAATGGATAAATTAATACCGGTTGGTATTAATTTATTATAAACTTATATAAATGCATGGCTTT